TCTCTCTCATCTCTCTCATCTCTCTCATCTCTCTCATCTCTTTCTCATCTCTCTCATCTCTCTCTCCTCTCTCTCTCTCTCTCCTCTCTGTCTCTCGTCTTTCCGTCTCTCTTCTCTCTCTTCTCTCGCAGGAGGATCCGGGCAAAGAGCCACATATAAAGGACTCTTCACCCCTGCCTCCAAAAAGAGCGCCGTGTTTTTTCCTACCTCGCTGCCCTCCACTTTCCCATTCTGGAGCGCTAGCTTTCGCCCCCCCCCCTTGGCCTCAAGTGATGCGATGGTCCCTTCAAGGCAAGCGTGTTTGGAGTTGTTCACCCATGACGGTTGAAATGGTAGCTGACAAGTCAAGCGGGGGAGTGCAAATGCGCTCTTTGTACACAGAGCGAGAGAGGCACCTGTCTGACGCGTAGACTCACAAGGAAAGCCGGGTGCCTGAAGGACCAGACCTTGATGCCCAAAGTAGGGGGCAGAGAAGAGAAAGGCCATCCAACCACCCGCAAGATCCTTACAAGACAGGCCATTTGGATCCATTTGGCAAGGTGAGACTATTGGCAAGATGGATTCAACTCACTTGGGTACTGCTCTTGTTACAGGGTGGCATTCGCTCCACAAGTGTTTTTTTTCTTTTTTTCGCTCGTCATTTTCGAAGGCAAAAGCCCGAGCTGGAGGGCTTTGTTTGTGAAGCATGTGTCACAGTGGCAGGGCCAGGGCATCTCGGCGGGTTTCATCATTTCTTGGACTTGAGAGCAGTGACGACAAATCATTGATAGTGCGTCTTGTTTTTTCGTTCTCTTCAATCCCCTCATTTTGGGAAGGCGAAGGTTCACTGTTCCACTCCGTTTTTGAGGTTCAAAGCCTTCAGAAAGAGGAAGGAGCAGGAATTGTACTATTTCAACAGGATGGCCTTCCGTGTGTACACAGAGTTGGGCTCCGTTTCTGCATCTTGGCTGAAGAAGCCCTCGGCAGGTATTTTGCGCATCCAAACTGTCGAGTCTTTTAGGTTGGCTTCTCTTGCGAAGGCTTCAAGTGGTCGAGGGAAGTCCCAGAAACAAGCAACAGGGTTATAACATGTTATAACAGGGTATCCTAGGAGCTTCGCGAGTCTTTATGGGATGCTCTGGAAGCTTCCATCAAAGGAATCTTGCCATGTCTTGTTCAAGAGCTCGACCGGAGACAAAGAAGAAACGCGTGAAAGTGCATTCGGATCGTAGACTCGTAGACGCTTTACATGCGCTACAGAACAGTTGCTCATGAGGAAACATCGACTATCCTTCCGAAGTACTGCTTGGTGAAGGGTGGTGGGTCAGACATGAAGCTCCAGAATGACCAGGACAGCCAATCGATTGCGGGTTGCCAAGAAGTCGCGAGAGTCAAGTCAGGACGCACCGAACCGAGGACCAGGTCTAAGACACCTCTTTTTTGGCATCACCATCAAATAAGATGCGCTTTCAGCAGCTGTCATGTGCCAGGTGTGCCCAGAGGTTTTGGCAATGGGCGTGGTTGGCTCGGCTGACCCTCAAGATCGCCTGATGAAGTTGGTGGAAGCTCGGGCGGACATGATCAGATGAGGGAGGATTCATGGGGCAAACCATGGCACGATGCGGAATCATCATCAGTTCATTGAACACCTGAACCCGTGAACAGGCCATCCTGCGTGCGGTTGGGTCTCGTGGGGTCATGGTATGTCATGGTTCCAAAGCCACAGTCCTGCCCGTTCTGAGGATCCTGCAGGACAATGTCTGGAAGCTGGCAAAGACGGTACCTTCCCAACACTGAAACGTTCCTCTTGCGACTCTCAGAAGCCCAAGCAGCTGATTTCACCCATGGCGATCCCATCCTTGCTCTGGAGCCTCCTGGCAGCACTCCAAGGATCTCCAAGGGGCGTAAGTGTAGTACTGCAGGAACCTTTGCTGAACCTGACTTTACTGATCTTTACTGCAAGCCGCTCTATAGGGATAGATGCCAAGTTTTATGCTTGGCCCACACCTTATACCTTGAGGCATGCATCAGGTTGCGGACCGAAATGCTCAACAAGACCTTCACTTGTCGTACTCCTCGTTTTGTGGAAGCTCGGCTTAGAGTCGCACGTTGAACCCGATCACACGTTGTGTTCGAAGGATTTGTCCAGGGAACCCGATCAGTGCGTTCACGCCTTTGGTGGCACTGCACGTTAGACATGAGGGTTCAATTGGGCTACTGTTTTTGATTTGTGAGCAGAAAGTTGAAAGCAGGTCTGGATTCGCTGTGCACAGGCAGAGTAGAATGTCCTTTAGCCTAGGGCATACAGGTGCAGCTTGACCCTCACACACACATTTCAGCCATGCAGACATGGTTGTGGGTCAACCCCCTTTACTCCCGGCCAACATGCCAAAAGACACGAGTTTCCTCGGCTATGTTCATCAAGCATGCTTTAGGATGTCTGGGGTGGTTTGTTTTGAGCCATTTCTATTTCCTTAGTTGAATGTTTCACGTGAACTGAGGAGCTCACGGTGCTTTGTCAAGCCTTGCCTTTCAGCAGATCTTCGCAGGAGAGGGCAGAAGAAGATCAGCAAGGCGATCACAGCGTTTGTCAAAGGTCCTGCCAAAAAGACTTCCCCAAAAGGCTTCAGTGAGGTCTTCGGTGAGGAAGGAGGGAGGATGAAGGTACGTAGGGATGAGGGATAAAGGTACGTTTCCGGCCAGTTTCCTCGTCGGCTGTGCTCCGCCCCCATTTTTCACTCCGCCATGTCAGGACTTAGGCAAACGAAGACCTCAGCGCATGCAATAAATTGCCGTCTATCCGTCTCTATTGAAAGAAAGGAGGGAGGAGAGTGAAGTTCCCATCGTTTCCTTTGCAAGGCCACTGTCTTCCTGTCATTTTGCTCCAGTCATCAAATTTGGCACATTCGCTTCTGGACCGCAAGGGGTGTTAGGCCGTACTCGTGTCAGCCCCTGAAAGCATCATGGCAGACAAATGTTTCGTTTGTTTCCTTCCTTTTCTAATGCAAGGAATGGATCTGAGATTTGAAGTTCTAGTTTACCACTCTGTGCACGGTTTCTCAGGTTGCAACAGGGATCACCAGAGACAAGACGACGAGCAATTGGCCGAATTGGAACACGCAGATGGCGGACAACCCCATTCAGTGTCCAGATGGTGAAGCCTTGACAGGCTTGGCCGAAGATGACAGGATATGGGTGTGTATTGAAATAGGGAGACCTCCCAAAAATTTCCTGGAAGAAGTGGACGAAGGAAAGCATACCAAGACCCATTGGCTTCAAATCATGATTGAACACTCCAAAACTGGATGCAATTCAGTAGGACCAGATCGCAAACACCTCATGACCAAGAGTCTGGGAGCATTTCAACCGACGTGATCATCTCCGGGGCCTTTCAGAATATATGGCCCGCGGCGGAATGGCTTCGCAAGGTCAGACCTCATAGCACCCACACATACACATGGCCTGCTTACATCATGGGGGTAGCGGATACCTTGTGAACATTTCGGACTATTCAAGGGCTTATCAGATCTTATGAGTGGTATCAGCTGATGCTGTTACTAAAGAATTCTCGCGGATTTCATTGCAAGGCTTCAAGCTCGAGAGCGCTTCGAAGAAGTTCATGTGACCCTGTGAAAAGGAGGTGTTAAGCTGGTAGATGGTTGTACTTCGACTTGGCACGATGCATTGATACATAGTAGTTATCGCCAACATTTCGTGACAACTAAAGCTTGGTAGGGTGGAATGGACGCTGACCTGCCTTGATATGCAGGTACGAGTGCAGCCGCATTGGCGGCTTGGGTGCCCAATATGAGTACTTTACCAGTCAGGCGTGGTAGCATGAAACACCACCAAGCCATCAGTGACAGTAGCCGACCCAGCCTTCTTCCTGAAACCGATCGTGCTAGCTTGGTCCAAGGGTACCAGTGCAACCATGATATTCCATCCCAGCAGGTCACAATGCATTGATTCTGTACTATTTGTTGGTTGATTGATGGAGGGGATACCCCCAAGTGTACAACCAATAGGTAAATGAACGACAAAAGGACATCATTGCCACAATGTATTTTTCTCTACCTCTGTTGCTTTTTTCAATGATTCTGCATGCCCTGGCCAGGTGGAAGTCCCTACGTTCGATGCGAATCCAAACAACTGGTTGAAGTCAATCAGGCAAGGACAACAGAGTTGGTGACAGTCTGACTGGGCGTCTTGTGAACAGCAGACTTACTTAACGCACTTGACTTTGCAAGCAGTTTGTCTAATCCTTCCAAACGCTTGTTCTGCGCCCTGGGTGCAATATGGTGCGATCTCCCATGCAAACGCTTCCTTAATGATTGACACCGCTCTGAGGATGCTGAAAATTGATTGCGGAGAGAATGCCTTGCTGAGCGGATTCCACTTCGAGTTCTCCGAAGGAGGCAAATCAGTTTGGTGGATATGAAGAAACCATCCACAGGTCACAGGTCCTTTCTGTATACTGTAATTGAATGGACTTTGTAAAGCCTCAAGCGCACGGTGCCCATTGAGTTTTGCACAATTTTGCAGCATTGATCATGAGATTGCCAACCTCTACTACTTGCAAGATCTTTGATACAAGCACCTTTTGAAACACAGAAACAACTTCAACACAAACACACAAATATCAGAAACGATAACATAAGATAACACATAAGACTTAGACATAAGATAACACAGAAATCAAACTCAAACAGTTTGAGCATTTCGCAGATCTTCAGCATCTCGCAGGTCGCTGGGCTCGTTCCAAATTCACCTGTTCCAAAGCGGGTGGCGCCCCCGTGGTGATGGAGCCATCCACCACGGTGGAAACGCAGCGACTCGCTTCGGGGCACGGACTGGGCAGTCAAGTCCAAGACCGGTACAGGTGAGCATCGAGCATAGTACAGTAGTAGGAACATGCATTTTTATTTTTTTTAAAACATTTTCATACATTTTCTATTAGACTTTGGGTAGGTGGAAGGTCGGTCATTTTGTCCTTCCGTCTCCACGGCAAGTCGATGGGGGTGATGACCAGTCTTTGAAGCGTTGCCTCAGTCATAGGCACGCTGTTGGGACGCGTTTCCGGGTAGTGAACTAGCCAGGCCAATAGTTCCAAAAACCTCTACTTCGAACCGACTAGTCTACACTTCTACAAGCATCCCTTCTTGCCAAAGGCGAGGGCTTTGGGACTGTAACACGTGCTTTCCTGCCGCATGACTTCTAAACCCTTTCACACTAAGGTTTCATCGTTCGGAAGGGGTGTTCTGCCCTGCGTTCCGGAGCACGGACACCGGTCGATACACCTATGAGAACTCAATCACAGGCGACACCTTGGTCTTCCAGGAGGACCATGTTTTTTGTTGGATGCAATGCTGTCCGATTGGAGAGATCACTGCAGCTAGCGAGATTGCTTGTGCATTGGACCCACGAGGATGGGCGATGGTGCGTCAGAGGCGATTGCTCCAAAAAGATCGGTGGAGAGAACCCCATTGATGCCACGATGGACAAGCTTGAAGTCGCAAACTCAGGAAGTTCAAAGGACAGAACAAGCGAAGCACAGGTTTTGGCAGCGAAGGTACCCTTTGAATCGTTTTACACCATGACATCATGACATGTCAACAAAGTCAAGAAAGATTGGAATCACTTGCTGCTACTCCTTCTGTCACCAGTGTGCTACTAATGCTAGATGCTAGGTGCATGCGGCAGATTATATGCTGAATTTCCTTGCAGTATCAATGTGCAGTGTCTAGAATATGACACGAGAAACCGTTGACTGGCGTTGACCACTCTCATGGTGCTTCCACAGATACCCTCAATCGGTCAGCTCCTGCAAGATTCCAGACAGTCTTAGGATCCTCATGAATTCGCTTTGTGTTTGACGAATTTGTTGGCCTCTGCCCTCTTTTGACATCCCTATTCTGACAAGTGACAATGAAGTTCCGAGTTGCGCTCAAATGTAGCTGTTGCAAATAGGTGCTTGCGCTAGTGTGTGAGGATTGCTGGAGTCACTTGTATAGTCCTGATGAGCGAATGCTCCTTTCATAGGTGGCCAACGTGACAGACTTCGATGGCGAGTTCGAAGCCAAAGGTGCAATGGAATGGGTGATCTTGGGTAGCGAAAGGATTTACAGGTTCTATCCATCACACAGATTACACCCATGCGCTAGCCATCACGGATCATTTTTGACAAGGGCTTTTGGTCCACCTGGTTTGATCAGCCCAGCTTGGTGGAGGCGTGCCTGACATGAGCGAGGGTGGCGCAGCGGGATTGGCCCAGAAACTGAAGATACTTGGTCCACAATTTTTTGTGCCGAATCAAAAAGACCAGATTGCTTCATTGAGCTGACAAACAAGGTGGACACAGGAAGCAAAATCGAGGAAGCAAAAAAGGAGGAATGCGTTCCAATTCTTTGAGTTGCTGAACACTTCGTTTGGCCTAAGGAGGCTGAAGCCACCAAAGAGGCCAGCGCAACCACCCAAGCCCAAGCTTGCGGAATTCAAGGCGGAGCAACCCAAGTATGCCGAGGCCGAGACAGGGATGGGGTGCTGGATGGCGCTGGGGTCTTTGGAACAAGCACATTTTGAAGTACTCTTGCAGCATCTACAGCACATTGTTGTGCCACTGCTCAGCCCTTTTTGAGGTCCAAGAATGTTTGTTTGAGTCTTCGAGTGAATCAACTACAACACCGGGTCACCAGGACATCGGCTGAGTATCGGATCAAGCACGATCAAGCGGGTCACCACGCCTAAATTGCTCAAGGGCCGCGATTGAAATTCCAAACCCTGCGACAGCGAGGGGGCCCGACCCACTGACCTGTTTGCCGCTTTGCAGAGTTGGAGCCCTAGTAGTATCCTTGCTCCTAGTCGCGATGCCAGGAGCCCCTAGTAGCGTCCTCTTGCTCCTAGTAGCGATGCCCTTTCCTCCTAGTAGCGTCCTTGCTCCTAGTTGGTTCACCGATCGGAGCCGATCAAAAAGCTGCTAAAGGAGCCGATCAGTCAACCGCTACTGATCGGGGCTGCAATGTAGGCGCGCCTCAGGTTTGGACAAATACCAGACCATCTGAGACCGTACCGCTGGGACTCGTACCGTCCAGGCTGTTGGCTCTCTCCTTGACGTCCGTTCTGTTTCTGGCAAGTACTTGTATGGAGGTGTCGTTTTCCAAGGCTTATGCAATGGTTCAGTGAAGCCCCAGGAATGCCTGAATTATGAAGACCTGTGGAAGAAGATCATTGAAACGCAGAAGGGAGAGGACAGACATGGGGTTATCCTTTTCAAATCGATGAAGGAATTTCGCTCTTTGAACAACGATGACATGGACATGCACAGAACAATGCTGGGTCGATTCATTGGAGTGTAATGTTTTGCTCCCCTTCGTGAGAGGGAGCACAGGATGTAGCTACCCGTTTCATACAGACATTTGGCACATTTTGGCAGACAAACATCTTCCACTGACAGAGCTAGCTTGCTGAGAGTTTAGGCTTTGCCAGGATGATGAACCTGTGACTGAAGAGAATACACTGGAAGCCGAAGAGGGGACGGAGGGACAAGAACTATTGGATTACCATCCTTGTGCAGCAGCTGTGCTGAATTGGACAGTATGATTTGCGTAGTTTATGGTTGCAATAGGAGATCTAGTGCAGTTGGTAACGATGCTTCCTGCTAATGAATACTTGCAACATCTTGCACCATTTATCTGCCTGCGATATTTCGTGTGGTATTCAAGGGTTTTTTATTCCATGATTCCATGGTATGCAGGTAGCAGCTGGTGCTGGTGGGGTCTTTGGCAAGCTTGCTGGACAAAGCGGAAAGCTGGCGCCGGAGAACATGCTCTACTCTGATTGGAACGAATGCATGCAAGGTGCTCGAGCGGGGGCCATGATTGGTTGCCGCTGCTTGAGCTCTGAATAGAAAGCAATGTACTGTAGCCTTTCCGAAACTCTATGTGTGCTTAGGCTCAACTTTCAGTCAGTCAAGCTATTTTTCTGTAACTTATGTGCCCACGGTTGTGTTGAACAATCCCACCGCGACTGCCAATAACGTGTTGTTTGATCAATTATATACTTTGTGGCAATCCCAGTTGCCGCCACACGTGGCGTTGCAGCCACAAGGGGTTGATACACTCTTTTTGCGCTCCTGGCTGCAGGAGACATCAACCGAGATCTTTACATGGCACATTGGGACTGGTGGGTCCTGTGGGGCATCCAGCCTGCATACCACCACAGTGCCCGGCAAGAGGGAAAGCTGGGGGGCTTGTAAGGCTTGTGCAAATCGAACACCTGCAACCCTGCAACCTCAAATGATTGTTACACATGCATGCATGCATTATCGGGTTTTTCATTTTTGATTGTCACATTACTGTAAGTCCAGTCCTTCTTGCGAGTCCCCACACGGGGCGGACTTCCACCCATGCTGCTTCACTTTGCTGGAATTGGAAAGTTGGGTTAAGCTGCTGCAAAGCTAAACGCGCTTGGTGCTTGCAGCTTGGAGTTTGGTAGCGTGGTGGGGGATCAGGATTCCTAATTCTCCCGCCCGATCTCTCCAGGACTTTGCTGGCTTTATTCATGAGTTGACAGCGCATCTTGCATGCAAAGTAGGTGAGGGAACAGTTCTATGGTCCGTCGAAGCCTAGAGCGAGCACCTGCACAAGGGTCTTCCAGACGGCGACAATTCCCTGTCAAGCACAAGCACGAGGTGCGATTGCCAATTGTTTGACAGGTGCTCAACTCTTGGATGGCAGATGACCATCCAAACATACTTACTTGGGGTACCCAGAAATCCAGAGCTAGTAGAATCAGTAGAGTAGAGTATCAGTAGATATCAGTAGTTTTTTGTGGAGGGTGCCTGTGTTGAGTGTGGGAAGTCCCTGTGTTGACTTGGCTAGTGATCATGTTAAGGTCCGGTCCCTTGCAGTGATCTCTGATCCAACTTAGTCGAGCGCCGAGCGCACTAAGGGAAGTGGTCACAGAAGGCATCAACCTGGTGTGCGAAGCACCACCGGTTTCTTGGCCTCGCAGCAGAAGTTCGCGGCTACAGTACTAATATATCCTTATATGAACAATGTACATTTAGATACAAGACCACCCTCAGTTCAAGACTGGGCCGGCTGGTTCAGAAAAAGCAAGGACTTGATTCACACGAGTGGTGAGCCCTGACCCTAACGACTCAGCAAACCAACAGTGTAACACATCGCAGAAGAAGATCAACTCCGACATGCAGGTGAACACAGAAACTCCGACATGAAACTCTGACGTTGATTTGACTGTGGGTGCTCGCTCCGACGATGAAAGCTCCGGCGTTTGCTCCGTGGAGGACGTGGAAATCGCTCCCTTGGGGGCTGGAGTCGAAGTCGAACCAGACGAAATTTGCGAATCGGCCGGGATGCCCAGACCGGAGACCAGTCGACGGTCAGACCATGCGGACCCCGGACCTTTGGGCAAGAAGGACACAACCAGACACAGTTCCAGGAGGTCCACAGCAAAGCGCACATTTGCACGAAGCCTTGCGCAGGAGGGGTTGCAAGGTTTGCATGAATTATAGATTAATTATAGATTAATTGAGATTGATATTGATGCGCAGGAGTTCTTTTTTTCTCGACCGATCACTTGGATCACTCGTCAGGTGATGAGTCCACTGAGTCCACCTTGTCACTAGTAGCTTCTTGCTACTAGTAGTAAGGCCAGGAGCTACTAGTAGCTTCTTGTTACTGGTAGTTATGCCCTTGTTGCTTTCTACTAGTAGCTTCTTCCCCCTGACTTGAGTCCAGGGCGACTTATCTCATCGCTGCCGAGGCCACTCAGTTCGCCGAGGCGCTGAGCAGTTTCCCCTTCGGCTGGGGAGCCCCAGAAGGTTGCGTCGGCAGGGGTTTTGTCGTTTGGCAGTTCCACCATGGAAGAATCCCATATACCTATTAATCCCCTTGACTGGTGGTCATACTTTCTTCCCTCAACACGCGTAAGCACCTCAAACGGACTCCGTATGACTCTGTGCAATTCTGCTTCTGGACTCAACACAAAGACAACGAGCTTTTGCTTCTCACCGTGTGTGTTTAGTTCCTTCGTTTTTGTGAATGCCCTTGGACTCCTCTGAGAATACATGGCTTCGTGGAACGCATACGCGGTGGAGAAGGAGGGCTTCATGGCATGCAATCCATTTCAGGCAGGAATCAGGGAGAAGAGGCACACTGACTTGATCGTCGGTCAACACAGAGAAAAGAGGCACATAGAGGCACCAACGAAGGTGTTCACAGAGGAAGCGAGGAACCTGGCTGCCGAAGCTGTTCCTGAGCCGGCGCCAGGTGGGCTTCTCCCGGCTCTTCTGCGACATTCATTGTGTCCGCGACGCAGTGGTCCGGGGCGATCGCACCATCATTCGGAACATGGAGAAGGCATCCGAATCCGTCCGAATCGATCGTCGAACATGGCTGTGGTTTCGGAATGGCTCCAAACGGAGCGATGACGGTAAGGTCGTGTAACGTGGAACGTGATCCTGGGTCGATGAATGGGTTTTGCTTCTGCTCCCAAACTTCCGGATCATGGGTCGCAAGGATGGGCGGCAAGCAGATCATGTGAATTAGCAGACCGCCTGATGGACTCAAGAGTTTTGGTGGACTGGCCGGACCATCTTCGTGGCGAAAGGGACGTTCGTGTGGACGTTAATCTTCGCAGGCCACGAAGATCACGAATGACAACATGAAGAAGATGGTGGAGTGGTCGACAGAGGCCAATCGTGCAGAGACGGAGTACTTGGACAAGAAGATCGATCATTCTCTGAAGGCGATGAAGTCTGGGATGAATGGGTGAAGAGAACATGCAAAAGGATGCAAAAGGAAAACCGTAAGATTACGCCACGCTTTGACAGTCAATGATCCTGAAGAACATATTTGATATATTTTGTTTCCATACTGATACATTCAGGACTTGAAGGGCAGGTCAACATCAGACATTAATTGCAGCAGATGTTTCCAAGATCCTTTGGCCACGCAGCTTACAAAAGGATTCTCCACCAACAACCATACCTGGTGGTATATCCCGGTATCCAAGGAATCTTGCACACTTTGTTGGACTTTGCATCACGACGAGTCAAAGATTCGCGTGGACTCTGTGCATGCCAAGTCATGAGGTCAACACTTTGTACCTGGACACCATCATGAAGCAAACTGAGCCACAGAGCCTCCAAGATGTGGCTGCCACGACGGGTTCCATGCTTGAAGAGCTCGACGGCATGGCCGAGGCGCTGACCTGCGGCAGAGTCAACGGACATCTTGAACGAGCGTGGATGAGCATCGAATATTTTGGCATTCATATGCTTTCATATCGTCCTACGACGTAGTATATGTATACTACTATTTGGTTGTAGCAACATGTAACAGCTGGCTCTTTTTATCATCAAAGCGGAGGCCCAGCACTGAAACGTCGGCATTCGGAAAGTGAAGACTAGATGGAAGGAACGACCATGATTCGGCCAGGAGCCCCTAGTAGCGTCCTTGTTCCTAGTAGCGATGCCCTTTGTTCCTAGT